TATTAACCATTGGCTAATTGTTTTGTAATCGATTTATGTACAGAACATGGATAATGCTCAAACAAATCGTTCATGGATGTACGATAGGTGTCATAGAGGAAGAGGTGCTTTGAAAGAGTCTTTTGTATTGGGTGTTGAAGAGTTTATAAGTAAAGCTTGTGAACAAGAACGTTATCGTAGAGATGGGGGTCTTCGATGTCCATGTTTAAAGTGAGATTGTACAAAGATTCTGCACGAAAGAGTTGTGAAGGTTCACCTTTACAAGAACGGTTTCAAGCCTAATTATTTCATTTGGGAGGATCATGGGAAATAATGCCAAAAGATGATGTACAAAATCATGAAAGTTGGATGGCTGTAGAGACGGAAGGTGGTTAAATTAACCAATTTCAAACAATGGAAGACATGGTGCATGATGCTCTTAGGCAAAATGAGTCGTGCCAAGCATTTACTTCTAATAACATTGAAGGGGCTCCGAATGAAGAAACACAAACGTTTTTTAATTTTTTGTTGGATGCAAACCAGCCGTTGTATGAAGGAGCATCATACTCAAAATTATCAATGTGTGGCAGACTATTAGCTTGCAAGTCAAATTGGAATATTCTTAACCAATGCATAGATTTTATTGCAAAAATGGTTATGGATGCAACACCCATTAAATCAGGTTTGCCTAAAACATACTACGATGCAAAAAAGTGTGTATCAAAGTTGGGATTACAATAGCAGAGGATTGATTGTTGCGTGGATGGTTGCATGCTCTTCTACGATAATGAATATGGTAAGAATGATGGCGCGTTGGTTGAATGCAAATTTTGTGGAAAGCCAAGATATCAACCACGTAACACGGGAGCAACTACTACAAAACAAGTTCCTATGAAATCAATGTTCTATTTGCCATTAATTCCCAGACTACAAAGAATGTATGCCTCAACACAAACTGCAGGACAAATGACATGGCACTATCAGAACATGTCGACGAATGGTGTTTTGCGTCATCCATGCGATGGAGAGGCTTGGAAGCACTTTGATAGAGTATATCCTGACTTTGGTATCGAGCCATGCAATGTACGACTCGGTTTATGCTCTGACGGTTTTAACCCATATGTACAAGCATCAAATATACCATATTCATGTTGGCCAGTTATTGTCACCCCTTATAATCTTCCTCCAGAAATCTGCATGTCTAAACCTTACATGTTCTTGACATTCTCATTCCTGTGCCATTCAATCCAAAGGTTGGCGTAGATGTTTACTTAGAGCCCTTGATAGACGAATTGAAGAAGCTGTGGACGGGTGTGATAACATATGATATTTCAAGGAAACAAAACTTTATTTTGAGGGTCATGCTGATGTGGACAATTAATGATTTTCCTGCTTATGGTATGTTGTCCGGCGGGAGCACTCATGGTAAACTGGCATACGCACATTGTATGGAGCATACAAAGGCTTTTAGATTATATCATGGGGCAAAAAATTCGTGGTTTAACTCCCATCGGAGGTTTTTTCCGAATGACCATGCCTTGTAGGAGGAATAGGAATGCTTTCAAGAAGGGGGAAGTGGAGATGGATGACGCACAACCATATCTTACGGGACCAGAAGTTTGGAATAGAATCAATGGTTATCCTAAAATAACTGAAAATGGTGCACCAAGAATTTGTGTTCTACTATATTGAACAAGGATGACCTAGTGAAGATGGAAGAAAACATTCCAATCATTCTGTGCAAGATGGAGAGAATATTTTCTCCCTCATTCTTTGATTCTATGGAACATCTCCCTATCCATCTTCCATATGAGTCACGACTTGGTGGACCAGTCCACTATAGGTGGATGTACACATTTGAAAGGTGACAATATGACATCTTATTGTTCAATTTACTAGGCATAATTCAAAAATCCTAACATATCAGTTTCAAATTTGTAGGTTCATGGGATATGCTAAACATTCAGTAAAGAATAAAGCTAGGGTTGAAGGATCTATTTGCGCATCATACTTGCATAGAGAAACAACTCATTTTTGTTCCCACTATTTCAAAAACTTCATGTTAACACCACAAAGCAGTAGAAATGAAGTAGACATTGAAATAGAAAGCTTTACGACAACATTATCAGTGTTTGACCAACCTGGTCATTATTCTAGGAGGGAATCAACACATTGGTTAAGTGATGAAGAATTGAGATCAGCTCATGTTCATGTATTGATCAATTGCAATGAAGTTCAACCTTACCTTGAGTAAGCCTCCAAAATCAATTATATTTCCAAATTCTTTCATTTGATATAATTAATTGTCTTTGATCTAATCTCGTCATACATGTTGACAACTCATTCTTACATACCTATCAACTATCTGAGTCAAACAGTTCGACATACATACATGCTAATTTCCCATTGTGGTTTAGGCAAAAAGTACGACTTCCTATCATTCTTACACATTCATTTCTTCCTTAATTCTTTAATCATTACATTGTTGAATAGGTTCATATCCTGAATGGTTGTAGGTTCATAACGATCCTTTAAGTGTGAGGAACCAACATCTTAGAGATTTATCACTTGGTCCTTTAAGGTGTGTAAAGGAATGACACACCTTCTTTGCTAATGGATACAAATTTCATACCCATGCATGGAGTCAGGGCAAGAGGACAATTAATAGTGGGGTTCATGTTAAAGGGCTAACAGAAGGAGGTCAAGATGATTTCTATGGTGTCATTAAACACATCTATGAGTTGGAATACAATTCAACAACCACTGAAAAGAAAATTGTATTATTTTATTGTGATTGGTTTGATCCATCGAGAGTAGGTACAAAGGTGGATTCAAAGTATGGCATTATGGATATTCGAATGGATAAAAGATATGTGTTGTTTGATCCTTTGATAATTGCACATAATGTACAACAAGTGTATTATGTACCATATCCTACATAACGCACAGACAAACAAGGTTGATGTGTTGCGATAAAAACGAAGCCTAGAGGTCACATTGATTCTAATGATGTAGAAGTCGATGTGGCATACCAAGTGGAGGAAATGTCACATGTTAATGACGTCATTGAAGTTGAAGAAGTAGTCCGATTACAAGATGTAGAAGCTGGTCTTGAAGAAGTGGACCTTAACAATATTTCATCATTTCAAGGGAAAATAGATGAAGATACAACTGAATCAGAAGAATACAATGCAGAGGGACAAGGTAAAGATGACAATGAAGATGAATTTCATAGTTCTGGCACTGAATAGAGTTAGGGTGTGTTCCTCCTTATTTTTGTTGCATTTATAATGTTGTCCACAATCTTAAGACTTATCAATGTAAGTCTTAAGATTAAACATTTACTAATAGAGTTTTATTGGAAAACCAGAAAGAATGTGACTTCATCTGTTGTTGATGTGTTTGGTTTTTACTTGTGTTTTTGGTTTGTTTCTGGAGTATAATATTGTTTTTGGTTTACTTGTTACACATTTTTATCTATGATTGTACTATTTCTAAGTTTTCTTTTCTTCTATTGTATAAAGATATATATTATGTTCAAGAATATGGCATCAAGTGCTTCTGGCCCTCCTCTTCCACCTTCAGGAAATTCTGATAAGGGGAAGGGGAAGAAATCTAATGTGGTGAAGTTGATGACACGTTTCAATAATGAAATTGGTTCAACTCCCAGAAATATTGCACCATCACCTGATATAGAGGATGCAGGTCCACATTCTTGTTCAGCCGCCAATTACGTGGAAGAATGTTCCAATAGTCATCCAATGATTACACCCATTGGAGGAGGGCAAGAAAAAAATTAACTCAATTAATATATATATATATATA